GAGGAAAGTTTTCTCACAGATAGAGAGACAGAGAGAGAGGCTGTAAAATTTCCAAGCTCTGGATAATAGTGTAGCTGCAGAAACACACAGTTTAAATATTGTCTTAAGCCAGGCTTTAAGTCTGTCACTGTTTCTTTGGCTTGAGGAGCAGATGTTTAGCGCTGTGAGCCTCTTGGTCCTGCCTCCAGAGCTTCCTGGACTTTCTTGGCCAGACTGATGACAAAGCTTACCTCTTGCTGGCCTTGAAACCAATCCAGTACCCATTAACTGGGTTTACTAACTTTATATGGGGAAGAGGACTCTTCTCGGTCACCACTGTGATAACTGGGCATCTGTATAACATATTGTTCTGCTTCTCAGACAGCACACTGACTTAGGTGAGCCCTGCAGTTCCTCAGTAACACCAACTCACTTTACAGGACTGCTGTAAACAAGAACGGCTCGTAGTGCAAGTGGGGGGGGTTTGTCCACACCCACGTTTTGGGGATACTTCCCCCCCCCCATTCAGACCATGGGCCATTTATTAGATATAAGAATTATTTGAATCATGATAGGATCGAGTGACAGTGGATCGAGTGACAGATTAGGCGTTCAAAATACTGATTGGCCATAGAAACTCACGGGGGGTGGTGGGCGGAGATGGAAAATCAGTTCTTAAATATCTCATGTACCTTGAAAACTCTCTACTGCAGCCACCATAAGTTAGATGCAACAACATGCAATACAATATATGTGCTGTTATTGTATTGAATGAAAGAAGTCAAACTCCATCTTAAAATGGAAGTGGGATTTTACCCACGAAAGCTTGCAATCTGTGTGATTTTTTTAGTGGTTTCAGTAAAGGTATCACTGAACTCTTGCGTCCATCTTAAGCAGTTAAATAACATAAAGGCAGCTGTGAGAAAGGGCCAGTTCTACATGGATTGTTAGGAACTGAATCAAAAATGAAAAGGCTGCCATGATACAATAACACTTGGGAATACTGTGCACAATTCTGGTCAAACCTAAAAAAGAGATATTGTAGGATTAAAAGTGGTGCAGAAGAAAACAATAAACATGATCAAGGCGATGAAACAACTAAACTGCAACAAAAGAGTAGACAGGGTGATTTTCTGTCTGTCTCTGAATATTGATACCTGCAGTCATCCAGTGAAGCTGAATGATAGGAGATTTTTAAAAAGTGCCGCCTCATAAGGTTTTTACTGAAACTAGGGAGTTTACTACCATAAGATGTAGCAATCATTGCCAGTTTGGACAGTTTTAAAAGGGGATGAGACAAATTCATAGAGCTATCAATAGCTAGTTGTCATTTTGGCTCTGTTTTGCTTCCAGTACCAGATACGCCTCTTTGCTGGGAAGCACAAGAGGGAGGTAGTACTGCACTCATATTTCACCAGTGGGATTCCCACAGGCATATGACTGGCCACTGTGGGAGCAGAGAGGCCTTTTATTTGATACAGTGGTGCCTCGCAAGACAAAAGTAATTTGTTCCGCAAGTAGCAGCGTCCTGAGAAATTTTCGTTTTGCGAAAAGCAGTTTCTCATAGTAATGCATTGCAATGCATTCCTATGGGAAACTTCACAGGATGAATGAATTATTTTCATCTTGCGAGGCATCGGTCTTGCAAAAAAATCATCTTGTGAAGCACAGCCATAGAAGAAGCCATTTTGCGAGTCACCAACATGATTGCAAAAACAATTCTTCTTGAGGGTTTTTCGTCCGGCGAGGCATTCGTCTTGCGAGGCACCACTGTGCAATGCTTCTTCATGTTGCCATGTCTCAATGGAAATAAGGTTCATTGAATTCAACAGAAAGGTTATAGGATGGTAGCTAGTGCCAATCAGACTCCTGATATCATGTCTTCACTGTGCTGCCACGAAAGGAAACATACATAGAAAACAGTTGTTTTTGTAGTTGAATGTTGTCAAGTCACCTCTGACGTATGACAATCCTATGAATGAGCAATCTCAAAAATGTCCTGCTCTCAACAGCCCTGCTTGGTTCTCATAGATTTAAGCCTGTGGTTTCCTTTAGGAAGTCAATTCATCTGATACTTGATCTTCCTCTTTTCCTGATGCCTTCCACCTTTCCCAGCATTATTGTCTTTTCCAGATAATCCTCCCTTCTCATGATGTGCCCAAAGTAGGAATATGCCAGTTTTAACATTTTTTGCCTCCTGAGATAGTTTGGGCTTCACTTGATCTAGGACCCAGGCATCTTAGCATCTTTCTCAAATGTGTGTGCGTAGGCTGAGGCCAGAAACACAGGTACCTTTACAAGACCTATCACTTTCCATATGCAATGCCTGACTTACAGTTTCCACTACATGTAAGGGTGGCTTAAGAGCAATTCAAACAGGTGGGACAGTTTAGCAGCAAAACTTTTTAAAGCCTTGTATTTCACATGGGGCACTGTCTGCAGAATCAAGTCCCTTCTCTTTTTGTATGTTTGAATTCAGTGAACAGAATCAGAAAAAAATGTATGTATGTATGTATGTATGTATGTATGTATGTATGTATGTATGTTTAAAAAAACCCAATGCTGGGACACTGGATTTCAAGCCCGCCTCCTCCCATCCTCTGACACTCTTGTTTTCCTGGGGTCGACTTCCTCCGACCTAAACAGAAGTTGGACTTTATTTCCTTCTGTTAATTGATCGTGACATCTGCCATAAGAGGGCGCTCATCAAACCCGGATTAAGGCAAATACAGTATTCAAAAGGAGGGAAGAGAGAGTGGTAGTACTAATTTGGGAAAGGGAGGGGAGAAGGAAGAAAGAGGAAGCTGTTAAAAGCGGGGGGGGGAGAGGGAGAGAAAAAGAGAATGGGGGAAAATGCAAACTTCTGAAGTGATGGAAAAGTCCTGGAGGTCCTCAGTGAAGGGCGCGATAAAATAAAATAAAATTGCAAGGCAGAGGTCAGTCTTTTTACCAGTCTGGCTGTGAATGGGTGTGACTGGGCGGGAGTCGGGGTTGGTTGCCGGGTGGGGGGGGGAGATACCGCGGCGAGGTATTGTGATTCATGCCCGTTTTCAAAGCCGGGACCACGGCCCAGTCTGAGGCACCCAAACAACTGTCTTCTAATATTAGCACGGCTGTATTTCTAGATCTATTATAGTCTGTCCAGACAGATCCCATTGTAATGGGATCTTTTATTAAAAGATTAGCACTATCTCCTGCAGTTGGTGGAAAAAAATCTGTTATCA